ATATATAGGCAGCAACATGTGAAGCAGTGAATTGAAGCAAAACAGGAATCACAAATAGCAGATACAGCCTATGTTATATATATATCTTGAAGCATTAGCCCTACAGGCCTATACCTACAAAATCTGGCTCCTACAGGCACCTGATGACATTAGCGGCATTTCCAGCCCCCTAGAAACAGGGCTTCTAGAAACGACCCAAGAAGCATCCTGTGCTTACTTTCAGGGATTTGCCCCAAAGACCGGTCCCCAGCTGCAGCCGAGGGGCTGGTCCCTGCCCCGGGGAGCAGGCGCCCCGTCCCGATAAGCACCCCAATAAAAACACCGCCTCGCCTGAACCAAGCTGTTGCGCAAGGACAAGGGCCCGAGCTGGGTTTCTCTACTAATGACAGCCATCTTCATTTAAGAGAAGGGCAGGAAGAGGTCGTGAGGCACCACGCCATTTTATCCTCATGCCAGGATAAAATACCGCACCTCAAGCACGTACAGAGGTCACGTTTTGCCGGATGCCACCTGCAATTCAAGCAAAAGGAGCATCTTAACGTGACGCGCACACACACATGCATACCTTCAAAATACTCCAGGCACCTCAGTGTCCCCGCTACAAAACCCTTACAGTATTACCAAACAGTAAACTTTGGGAGGATTTCACACCTAAAAAAAATTTAGCATAGACATGAGCACACTAAAGGACTCTGGAAAAAAAATCTCCAGATTGAAGTGCATCTTGCTTACCTTGAAACGCGCTGCCAAGACTATCCAAAAAATGATACTTGCTGCCAAAACCACGACCAGAAAAGCAAGCAGCTTCCTTTTGAAATCTGCATCTCACTCACTTTGACCACTCTAACCTATTTTTTCCTTCCCTGAACAGGACCAGATGATGAAATGTGACAACTCCCAGCTGCCATCTACACTAGGTAACTCCAACCATCGCTCCAGCAGCTGTGAACAAGAGGAGGAATGGTAGTACATTCCTTTTTTTTTTTTTCTTCCCCCTTTACGTTTTTATTTCCTTTAAAAACACACGGAGCCTCACCTTGCGGCCTAGGCCCATCACGGCTCTAAGAAGCAATGGCTGCCACGGCACAGTTATTTTGGTCCAGTCATTTTTTTATTTCACAAGGATGAGAAGACAGACACACTTGTGGGTAAACTCATCCTTCTCCAGAGTCAGCTTCACCTTCTGGCTATCTGACTATTTTGCACCCTTGCTGTGGGTCGAACAGCCCTTTCACAGACAGTCGGCAGGTTGCACATTCATATACACCTTAGTATCATCTAGCAACAATACGAGGAGGGGAGCAATCATGGGACTTCATGCCATGCAAAATTAACTCGCAGGCAGCATGTGGCCATAAGACACAGGTTCATTACCCCTATTTTCTGCAAGTTCAGGGACCACATCGCAGGTGATTTCACCTGCCTGAGAAAGATTACGCAAAAAGCTAGTCTTGTCAATCGAATGATTCTGAAATAAGTTAAAGACGCACCATCATCTGGAAATTTAATCCGTTTTGTTAGGAGGTGATTTGTTTGTTACTGTTGTGTTTTGTTTTCTTGTGTTTAAGTACATTCAGTTGCAAGTCCAGCCCTTGCCCTGCCAGTTTTTATGATTTTAAACATCTGTTTAAAATGATTTTAAACATCTGTTTAACACTGCTTCTCTGTGACCCTAATAAAAATGAAATTGATGGTCAGTGGAGAACTGTCAAACAGAGGAAATATTGGGAAGAGGGAGGGAGAGAAAGAAACGGTCCTTTCATTTCCAGTCACACTGCATTACTCTTAGCAGTCACTGACAACAAGCAAAATACCAGGGGACAGGATGAAGTTTTGGAGTTAATAGCAGCCTAGGTGCACACACTAACAATTTATCTAGGCTTCGTTACCTCTGTGCATGCATATGCATGTTTATACGGGTAATCTAGAAATAACGCTGCTGTTTTGCTCAAACAGGACCGGAGTTGGTGACACTGAAGTCGCAGTAAATTTTGCACTGGGTCAAGACTACACGGAGCCTCTACCTGCCTCAGCCGTACAGCAAGCTTTCCACTGACTTCAGCGACGCGGGCGCAAAGGCACTCAGTGCTGCATCTCCTAACGCGCAGCTATGTAAGGCTTTACCTTTATGTAACTTCTTATACTGTTTTTGTTTACAGAAAACTTTCTCAGCGCCTTTCAAAGACAGAATGATGCACTTCCCATGTAAACGCATGCAACTATGATCAGCAGTTAGGTACAGGAGAGCTTGCATCAGCCACTGAAAGGCACCAGCAAACAGGATGTCTCTGTGGCGCCAGCTGGGCCCGGCAGACGCCCACCCGGCCGGCGTAGGGAGCACGAGTCCCGCTGCCTCTCTGCCCCCCGACACAGCAGGACGATCAAACGTAACAACGCACCAAGGGACTTCTCCAGCTTTAAACAGAAAAGGAAGTTAGTAACTACCGAGACCATCTGCGTCTGCAGGTCCACGGGCACAGCTGAGAGTCCTGCGAGAAAGGCCCCACCAGTAAGGCAAGCGTGGAAATGAGATGTAGCAGCAACAGAAATTTAGTTTCTTTCAAAATAATTTTCCAAAAGCCAGGTAAACTCCCATGAGTTAGAGAAATATTCTATGAGACTTTATCCTCTTCCTAGCGCGCTGACAGGAACAATTGTCTGTGCTTCTGCTGTCCAGAAGCATCAACAGAGACCCGGGAGATTTAAAGCATGTTCTCTGCAACTTTGACTAATAACCTTTCCCTTAAGAAGTTAGCAAAAGGCAAACACACAAACCCAGGGCAAGGGCGAGCGATTAACAATATGCCGCACAAAGAACCGCGGGCAGCCGGTGGGAAGCACCCTCCGTCCTCCGGCTCCTCAGGGGACAGAGGAGAGGCAGGTCTGGAAAACAAAACTGCATCTTTACAAACCTACAGCACAGCCTAATCTGCACCAGGACTACTGCTTAAAAAGCAGCCCCATCAGACAGACAGCTGACTGATGCATCGTTCCCCTTAGACAGTTTTGGCAGAGGGGAAAGGAGACTCACGAGAAGAAGGAAACGGCAACCAAAACAGAGGCGCAAATGAAGAACTGAAGCAAGCAGGTTTCCTCAAGCAGAATCTGCAAGGGGCACAGAAACCTCTTTTCATGCCCCATAAGCACACAGCCAGCCTTGAGCTGCCTGAACCAAATGCACACCCGAAAGACTGATGCCTCCCACTTGTTAAAACATCATCTCTGCTCATTCTGAACTCTAGTTTATATGCGTAAGCTTTTATCACGTATAATTACACTCTCACATTAGACACTAAAAATTGTCAACATGGGGGGAAAAAAAAAAAATCAACAACACAGCAATAACTCCTGGAACTCGAAGGAAAAAAAGAAAAAAAAAACACAACAAAAAAGACAACCCTTAGAGCTCAAAGCAATTTGCATGCCTGCCATAATCAACCTTCGCTACTCAGATGCTGGCAAGAACAAACGGATAAAAGTATTAAGACGCAGAATATATTTTGTAATACTTTTATAATGACGACTGGATTATTTAGACTATTAAGAGGTTTACAACTGTACTGACACATAACTACACACAAAGGTTACAATCCTAAGTTTAATTTTTTTGATTTTATTTTAGGTTGTTCTTAGCTTTAACATTTCTTCATTCAAAAATGGATATTTGAGGGTTACTAAAGAAAGGAAGGCAAGGACAAAATTCACGCAGAAACGAATGATGGTAGAAACGCACTTCCTGTGGTTACATGATTTAAAGGCTTCTTGTGGCACAACCGATGAGGTAGCAATTACCATCACTTGGAAACAAATTCAAGCAACCTACACGAACAAAATCAGGAACGTTAAAGTCTTAAACTGAGCTCTGCTACCTAAAAAGTACCTGAAGGGAACACAGCCAAACAGACAGCGCTGATAGCCTCTTTGAAGGCAGAAGCATGGCAATATCCCTTTGCACCTTCAGCCATCTCAAAAAAGAAGCAATAATAAAGTATTTCCTTCTTCAGAGCCTGTATGAGAAATGGCATAGTTTAATGGCATAGAGAAATGGAATAGTTTATTGTCTGTTTGAATGCTCTGTGTGCTGTTAAATGCTGTCACTGAGAGAAGCCAAAAACGAAGACAATGAGGAAAAAGCTTACTCAGAGAAACGCATGTTTACACTTTCAGTCTGGGCTCTCTAGTCTTCTTCTATATGATCTTCTCCTCACCAGCCAAGAAAAATCATGGATCCAGAGGAAAGCTTGTACCACAGAAGTCACGATTACAGTCATTTTGAGAGTCAGCCTCCCTGGAGCATCACAACTGAGACCTGAGCCAACAGCCAACTTGCCAAGACAATCACACGCAACGAGCTCCTGGGTGCTCTCTCAGAGGAAGCCCCACCATCAACTTCAACCATACCTTTCCACTCCTCCAGTCTCTCAAAAGTGAGAGAGGAAGATCTGGTGAAGAAACTGGGGAAAAGCACAAGAGATCCAGCAGGAAGAGTACAGGCGGACCAGTAAATCCTTTGGTAAGTGACAGGAGACGCGTACCCATGAAGGGGAACCCGTCAGCCTGTCACCCCGCACCTTGACCCACAGCCAGAACAGGAACACCTGAGCCGCCGCCACCATCGCAAGCAGCCCAGGAGGAGGCATGCCACAAAGTCGTGACAGCTTTCTGAGGAGCCCCATCCCTCAGCTTTGGGGAGCACCACAAGAGCAGAAAAGGGAGAACACTAAGTAAAGTCGCAGCTTTTCATTGTTTTCTATGGCAATACAGATTTCATCAAGAGGGGACGCGCTTGGCTTAAACCTGTACTGCCTTTCACCGCTGCTGCTGAAGCAAAATCCTCGCTGCCAAATTTTACTAAAGTTTTAAAATCGTGAAACCTGTAAACTCAAAGACTTCGTTACACACGTGAAAAGCACTGAAAGGCGACAATTTCGGCCTGCCACAGCACACAGTAGTTTTAATAATAACGCCTGCAGTTTCGGTTTTCAATATACAGCTCCCACCTGAATCTTCTGCTTCACAGGACTCCCCTCCGCGCACGGCAGGGCGAAGCGAAGCCTCGTCGCGGGAAACGCTTTCCTCGCCGCCCGGGAGCGCCGCATCCCGAGGGGAGGCTGCGTGAGGAGGCAGAGGCTACGAGC